ATAAGCGATCATTCCAGAAATATCTGGTGTGTATAAACATTTGTGTTATCAGAATGCTTGCAATTTCGGAAAGAAAACACAGGAATAGGTGCCACGGAAATTAAGTGTGAAACTATGACAGAGACTCAGACCAATGTCACCAATCGTTCCTCATATGGGAGACAGTCGGTTTTTGATCACCCAGTTGTTCGTACTTGCATGGTAGAATAGTTTCTTGCAACAGAATCTGAGATTTGTTTCGAGCAAGCTATTTGGCGCAATCATGGATTCTCTCAGCAAAATTGTGCAACTTTTCCAATCTGAAATTTGGAGTTATTATGGAAGGACACAAATGCGCAAGTTCTAAAAGCTAGTTTTTTCTTTCTCCAAACGTTGCTGCCGAGAACTGAAAAAAAGAGGAAAATGAATAATATGTTTGATGAATCCGAATTTGACGTCAATCTTCTGGAGCTGCAGGTTTTATCAGTTGCCCCATCACGAAGGAGATGAAGGAGGCATTCATTGTAGTCATTTCGCAGTGCCTCGTGCGGCACCTCCTTAATATTCCTCCAATTTAAGATTCTCTAAAACCATAAAACGGCTACGTGCCTCAATTCAAGGCATTTTGTTTCTATGACGTAAGGGTTGAAAACAAATATGTTGTGTAGTAGTTCGAAACTTTCGATCAACGTTTTTTTTGCTTACTAGTTTGTTTGATTGTAGAAGAAAATCAAGAACTCCACTGTCGTATGTGCTTCGTGTTACGTGCTATCACTTTATAATTACAATCCACTATTGACAAGGATATAAATTGCAGAAATTAATAGAAGAGGTTCATGCCTGCGTAACTGTTCGAGATGCCAAGCATACGAATTTCGTAGAGGTCAGTTTGCTTCCTTCTCCCCTTTCTGCTAAGTTATTTAGTCCTTGATTTTTCAGTTTCGAAATTTTAAAATAGTCTACCGTCGTTACGCCGGACTTTACTTTTGCATTTGTGTGGATATTATGGATAATAATCTCTACTACTTAGAAGCTATCCATAATTTTGTAGAAGTGGGTTCTATTGAATATTTCTTGAGAGTTCGAAGAGTTTTTTTT